AAGAGAGAGATCTTGGGATTTAGAGATCACCACCAAGCAATGTATTTCTATACCATTGACAAGTGACTAATAAGGGCAATTGGTGTGTTGCAATATTGGTGTGTGTGTGTGTTTATTTGATTCAATAAGTAAGGATGACTAGTTAAGCATGTATTGTCTAAACATCATGTGAAAGACACAATATATCTAAGCAATGAAGCATATATTGTCTAAACAACATGTGAAAGGCACAATAGATCAAAACAAGTCATTAATCCTTTCATTAAGCTCACAATCCAAAGACAACACAAGGTTAGAGACATATGCTGCTTGCATTCAAAAGCTTGGATCATCAAACAACAAGCATAGATTGTCCTCCCATTTAACACTACACTACATCTACACTACTAGCATGAAAATAAACTAGGGGAGAGGCACAATCCATCAAGGAATAAGTATGAACCATCAAGAGAATCACAAAAGCATTCTTTTAAGCACTATGTCTTGACAATCTCCAAATCTATAACATCAATACACATAGACATGCATCAATAACACAAAATCTAGAAACAAGCACATGAACATCTATTCTAGCATACATAGACATATGGATAGAATGAAATGATCAATTGAAAGCATTAAACTACATAAATCATTGAATAAACAAGATCTATATATATCAAAGTGTCAAAACATTAATTACAATACTAATCCCTCAATAATACACAAGATTAAGATATAAAAAGCATGCTTGGGGCTAACTCTAGCCCCAAGAGAATGTCTAGCCACTCATGGTGATGTTGCTCCAATCCTCAAGGGCTAACTCCATGGTTGAAATCTGCTCATTGTTGATGAAAAACCTCCAATGGTGTCTCTACCCTCCTCCTCTATATTTCCTCTCCAAGAGATGATATGAAAAATGATATTGGCTCCCCTTATAAAAAGCAATCCTTATCCTTATATAGGTAGGTCAAAAGACACCCAAAATGAGCTGGGGTTGTGCACACAATATTCCCTCATGATTGGATAAAAGACAACTTTCAATGAGATGAAAATTTAACTTTTTTGCACTGGAGGAAGTTCGATCGATAGAACCTTGGATTTGGATCGATCGAACTGGCTGAGATCCATCGAACTTAGGCTGAGATCCATCGAACCAACTGGTTGAGCTTTTTGGGAAAAGACAAATCCGAGATATTTTGGGAGATATTTCTCGGAAAAGGACAAAAGTGGATAGTGGGTGGTACAACTGTGGATAGGATCAATCATTTGAATAAGGACAAAAGTGTTTGATCGATCGAAAGGTGGTGTTGGATCGATCTAACTTTTGGACTTTATGCTTTTGGGCTAAGGTTTGGATTTATCTTGAAGTGCTGAGATCGATCATTGTTCGATCAATCGAACCTTGAACTTAGATCGATCGAACTTTTCTGCTTCCCACCTTTGGCTTCATTTGCTTCCTTCTTTCTCCACTTTGCTCCTTTCTTTGTTTAATCCCAGAGTTGCTTCCTTTTTTCTCTTATTTGGCTGAGTTAGCTTATTTTCAGGATAAGTGCTTGAAAATGGAAATAATACGAAATCAATCTAAAACGATAAAGTAAGATAGATAAAGGTACTAGAATGCCTAGGTTTAAGGGGTTTAAATACCCACTTTTCAGCGCTCATCAACCATTATGCAGAAATGAGCCTTTTGTAAAACCCTAATTGCAACCTACATTGAACCTATCTTGAGAGCTTCATATAAATCAACATTTCTAAGGTCCTTGATGATGATCTGAACATGAAATCTTAATAGAAATGTCACTGAATTAATCTTTGTTGTTGTGTTCATCATAGAGTCCATTTGTTGTCATGTTTTGCTGGTGCAAAGGCTAGTTTGAAGGTTCACTTTAGGCCTGACGTTGCTGTGGTGCAAAGTAAAGGTTGAGATAGGTATATTTGAGCTATTTACATTTTCTAAGCACTTGTTCTTGAGCTATACTTTGCTGCAAATAAATTTCACTTCTCAAACCTGTGATTTGAGTTGTTTTCTGGTTTAGCCTTATGATTCATATATAGATTATTTATTTCTTGCTATACAATGTTTGATCTACATGCTAGCAAGTTTATTTTGATGAATCAAGGCCGTTGAAGTTGGTTTTTGGACAGAACTTTGGTCACCTTTAGTTTTGACCTACCAAAACCTTAGTTCTTCACTGTGAAGCTGCTGTCAATGCCTTATTGATGTTGTATTGTGATTCACATGCTATACTTATCTTGTTTATCATCTGAGCATGTTTGTAATAGTGATATAAGGCTGTGGGATTGATCTCAAAATTTTGGGGACACGAATTTTCAGTTTTACCCCTCAAACCCTAATTTCAGTAGAAAGGGTTTTAGAGGTTACAATTATTGTTTTGAGCTACACAACCACTCTTATCTTTTTGTGTGCTTGAATATTGTTGATATTCATTATTTTTTTTTTCCTAAATATTGATATTCATTATTTTATATGTATTTGGTGAGCAGTGAGAGCTTACAGGGTCCAAACAATGGTGCTTAGGACATAGGGGGTGCTTGTGAGCACTGTGTTGAGTTAGTGTGTGTGTAAAGGCTGTGAAAGCTAGTGTTTCAACTTGTACAAGGGTGTGTGAAGAGTGTGAGATAGCTGAGTGTGTAACTACTTGCATACAACTAGTGGAGCTTATATCAGCTGAGACCAAGAACCAATGTTTTTTCCTAATGAGAGAGGGTTTTCCTTGTATACCTTGTGTTCATTGTATTTGCTTGTCAACATTGATCTTGCTGTGAAGAAGAAGTATTTGAAATTGACCAATTCACCCCCTTCTTGGTCCAACACATGTCTTCTGCAATGAACCTCATACGCTTGTGGATAGTCACCACAAACCCCTTCTAAAGGGGGAGGCCGATACCACACACTAACTAAGTTCGTTGATTGTTGTGTCTAAAGGAAGGATAAATATGACCGTAAAGACGATGTGTGTCTGACAGAAGGAGAGGTGTGATAAAAACAATCCTAAAGACGGTGTGTGTGTCTCAAGGAATAAAAGGAGTGTTAAAAATGATTGTAAAGACGATATGTGTCTCAAACAACGAGGTAGGTGAGAGGATGACCTTACTTAATGTTCCTTTTGAAGAGATTTAAAAAGCACGAGTATTTTGATATGGAAGTGAGAAATGGGATGAAAAAAATATCCTAAAATGGTTTTGAGAAGAAAAGTACCATTTGTATGTATAGATGAAAAATACCTTCTAAGAATGTTATGAGAATTAAAGTGTAATTTGAGGGATAAAATGTGTGTAGAGATAGAAAATACCTCCTACATGGGTTTTGAGAGGAAAAATGCAATTTGAGAGACAAGAAAATGTGGGAAGAAAAATGCAATTTGAGAGAGAAAATGTGTAAAAGGGTTTTGAGAGGAAAAAAGCAATTTGAGAGAAAAAGGTAACAATTATTTCTAAGTGAAAGAACAATTTATAAGCATGGTTTCTTATCCATCACAAGGGATAAATTAACAATCGAATCAGTTCATTTCAGATCTACATATTTACATCAAATTAAGAAATAAGAACATTACACACAATCTACACATGTTCATCACAATAATCTAACAAATGAGCAACAAATATAAATAGATATATATCATCATACTACTACAAGAAAAGCATATTTGTTCATGAAAAACAAGGAGGAGGAGCATATCACAAAATTAAGGATTAAAGGGGTAATTATACCCTTAACTCAATCAATGAAAAGAAAGAACAGAGAAAGCCCTATCCATTTCCCTTCTCAACCCGTCTCTCTAGATTTTGAAGATCTAGGAGTGAGATTTTGCAAAGGTTTCAGAACTAAAGTTGCTCTCTACGATTTCATACCATTAGAGTCGCGATTGTTGAACAGATGGGTTTTTCTTTTCTAGGGTTGAGATTGAGAAAATTGTTGAGCATGACTTATGCAAAGTTTGTGGGCTTGAAGCAGAGTCTATCATATTTTCTACAGGTGTCCTATGTGCAAATAGCTTGGAAAATCAGTCCTATTGGATTGGATTTTAACAATGGTGCCTCTGGCTCATGGCCTAAAACATGGCATTTCTTCCTATTCGAGAGTTGGAAGAAGTTTGATAATTTTAGTTAACTCATTAGCTTTGGGGCATTTGAACTGAATAAAACTCCAAATGGGCTTTAAAGAACTCACACTCAAAGAACAAATGAGACAAGCAAAAATAGCAGAAGTTGGGCCAGTGATTGTGATTCCATTCTATTGGAATTTGGAAGAACTCAAAATCTCAAGTCCTACTTGGTTTGTTATTTAGAAAAAAAAAAGTTTTGTTTGATATAAAAAGCTTATTTTAGAGAAGCGTTTTTTTTTATTTATAATTCTATGGAAACGGTTTTCTAATTTCTTGATAACTATTTTGTAAGTGACAAACAAAACAAGGAAGGCACTTATATTCTCTATTATTTTGTTTCTTAATTAAAATTTAATTATTATAACTTCTCACTTTAAAATTTTAAATCAAGCATACAAAAATTAAATTAATACCCATAATACCACAAATCATCTAACTTTATTTTACCATAACAACATATAGCCTAGGTATATCAATCAGGTTCTAAGGGTTCCATAAGTAGCTAAACGATTTTTTCAAAATTCACCTAAAATAAATTCAAGCTCTAAAATTTAAATTCAGCCTCCATTCTTTAGTGTCAGGTATCTTAACCATCCTACTAAAATTTTCGGGTTAGACCAGCCCAAACCCCACCCCTATATCTAACCCTCTCTAGACACAATACCGAGCCTTGTGCACCCTTCAGATTGTTAGTAATCTCTCTTTTTTTCTTAATTGGGTACTAACACATACATGACTCTATGGAGACTCGAACCTCTGACCTCTCTTTGAGAAGTAGGGGCTTAGTACCGCTAGGCCACTAGCCTGTTGGTATTGTTAGTAATCTCTTTTTAGAGATTTTAAGAGATCCCAAAATTAATTTAACAAAAAGATTACATTGGGAGCATGGAATTAGGGCTTTAGAATTGGGATTGGAATTGAAAGAAAGTTCAAATTGTAGAAGTAGATCCCTGCTGATAACCAATAATTCCAATTTTAAGAAAGAAGTCCTTATCTACAACTTTAAATGCTTTGCCCCATTCCTCCAATCCAAGCACATCTGAATACAAAGTAATATCAACCCACCATTTGTGTTTTTTACAATTTTGTAAACTAGTCTCTAACTGATGAATTTGAACCATTCAATTTGCGATCTCTCCACAGCTTCTCTTCTTCATCATAAGATAAACTCTTGTGATATTTTTCCCAGCATAGCGTGTGGCACTCACCTGCTTCTTACAAACAGCAATGGACAATTTAGCTTTCATAATATACGCATGTAAACTCAAGATGCCGGGATGCTGTTCGTTTCCATGCTATCGATGATGTCAATACATTTCTTAAGCAATGATTTTGCCTGCTCCTTTTTTTCCACTTCACACTGATACAAAAGCTCATTTTTAAATCCAACTTCTGCCCGATGCACAGGTGGAAGAGCTTTGTACAGCTGTGTCATTTCAAGAAGACACTCTGCAGCCGCAACGTGAACCTGAATTTTATGCACAGGTTAGAAAGTGCAAATATACATGTATATATACATATACATCAGATGGAAATTAGGAAGGAGTGGAAGATCAGCCTTCTTTATGATACGGTACCCAAAAAGAAAATAAAAAATAACTGAAGATATATTGTTGCTGAAATGATTTGGCCAGAGATGACTATTGATCTTTAATCAGCTCAAAACTAGTTCTGGAGAAAAATTGGAAAAATAACATATAAAGGTTATCGCATGCCAAGTAAACAAAAATGTCACACAATAATGGTCATTAGTCATCCATCAAATGTTTCAGATCTATGCGCCTTACTCTGCTTAACAAATGTGGCTTACTCACTCTCAAGTCTTATCATGTTCACATATGCTATAAGAGACTGAATCACCAAATTGCAGTTTAGGTGAACCGGAATAATAAGGAGAAATCAACAACATAAGGTGAAAGGATGATATACCTGGGCAATCTTTACTGTGCTTATACATTCGACTACCTTAGGTGATGCAGAGTAAAACAACTGGAGAAAGCAAAGAGAACTCAGAGTCCAAAGACAAGTATTTGGAGGGAGAAAAAAAAAAAAGTAAGTAAAAGATGAAAACTATGGACTATAACGTCACCTCATGAACTAAAGAAGTTATCCTGGCATGTAGGGAGGTTTCCAGAGTGTCATTTGCATGGGCATGAAGCCTTGAACAAAGTTCTTTTATTGATGAAAACACAGAGATTTTGACTGCCGACAAATGTAGAATTGTTGTAGTCAAAGCAAATACAAAATATAATTGACTTGCAAGAAGAAAAGATGAAAGAAAGTACCTGTCCAAGTAAAACCGCCTGACAGAGAAAGTAAAAACACATGCAGCAAGTTCTTCTGCTGTTCAAGAATATCACTTACACGTGCCACATGGATGCAAGATGTCATGCAATCAACAATTTTATCATGTGGAGCAGAACAACCTTCTATCTCATCTGCTTCTGCATACAAGAAAATGTTGCTTAGACCAACTACTAGAACAGCCTATAAAACCTCTATGTTCAATTTATAAATTCTACGGCAGTATAGAGCATAAAAGCAAATAAACATATAGAGCATGTGCAGCCATCTCTTACCCAGTAGAGAACAGCCAACACAACGAGAGTAAAAATCAATCAACACGAACATAAAAATATGGGCAAAAAACAATGACCGCCCCTGAGGTTTGGCCTAATTACAAGTGGAAAAACAATTGCCTTTTTTTTTTGCAAAGACCACCTTCTCTGACAGATTTGGTTTTTTTTTTTTTTAAGTGAATTTACTCATCTACCCTTATTATTGTATTGTTAAAAAAGGTAAAAATATTTAGCTATGTTAAATTACCAGTTTGCCCACATTAAAAAGACATTTTTTTTCTCTCTCCTCTCCACCGCCTCTACCCACTCCCACAAAACCCTGACTTGAAAATCAGCTTTAAAACCCTATATATATATATATATATATATATATATATATATATATATATACACATCTATATAAATATATAGAGAGAGAATAAACTGAATAGAAACCCAAACCCAGAGAAAAAAAAACCCTAAACTGAATAGAAACACTGTTCATCTTGTTCATCAGTCCCACAAAACCTTAAGCCTATTGTTCTCCAAACAAACCCTAATCTCCAAAACCCATCAGATCCCACTGTCGTAATACCCAAAACCACCGTACACAATTCTCACCATCTGCAAACAAGGAAAAATTGTTTGCTAGATCAGTAGCTATATATATATATATGAATTTTCATATATAATCCCCAACAGAGCCAGCTGGAGCCTTAGGCGGTCACCCAAGGCCCCAACCAATAGAATCTAATAACTTAGGCCCCTAAGAATTTTTATTTACCTTATATTACTATTAATTTAGGCCTCTAATAAGAGTTTTCATCTATCTTATTCTTAGACCTCAACATGGAATGATAGTGGCCAAACAATTTTATTTATCCTATATTCATTTCTATCTAAGGAACGATTGGTTTTCATCCCTCCACTTTATTTTTTTTCCAATTTCCTACCTTTTCTATTAAAACTCTTATATCTTTTTCTTTTTTTTCCTCATCTCTCCTCACCTTTTATTTTTCCACCTCCCAACAATTTTTTCCCTTTTTTCCCCTCCTCTCCCCATTGCAGCAGCCATTATATTAAAACTTCTAATTTGTATCCTTTTGTTGTTTTAAACTTCTCTCTCATATTTTCTCTACATTTTTTTTTTCTTCTCTTAGGCAATGGGATGTATTACTAGCATGGTTTTTAACGCCCCCATATCTAGTGGCATACATAGCGTGACACCATTCTATTTCATATTTACCAGATAATTGGGATTGGGAAGTGATAAAAATTTCCATCTAGCCCTAGTTTTTCTACACTTTTCTATTAAAATTAATAATAGAAATTATTAACTATTATTTAATATTTATATATTAAATATTAAAATTCCACTTTTAGACTTTCGCCTAATCCCTCAAATTACATTGAGCTAGCCCGGATCCCCAAAAGTTGTTTGCTATATATAATCACTATATGTTTGCTACATTTATTAATTGTTTGCTATACACACACACACACACACACACACACACAAGCAGAAGAGCAAACCAAGGGATAACGACACCAGAGCTGTTGGAGGAGTCACTGAAGGTCATGATCGTTTTTTTTCAATGACGAGCTGCTGGTGTGCCGATGGCCGGTGATCGATTCATTTCGATACCAAAGGTGGACGAGAACAAAGAGGCCGAAACCGAACCCGAGGAGATCGAAGGGTTTCAGGGTTTCTTTGTGATACCGATCTCATGAGGAGTACGCAGTGGTTTTAGTCAGAAAGACTCACGAGTTGTATGCGGTGGTTCTCAAACAGCGGTGGATTGAGAGAGAGAGACATATACATATATGTCTGTTGTTGGTCAATTTTTTTAGAGATCTTGGTCATTTTTTTTAGAGACCTGGGTTGTCAAATTAGGGAATCAAAGACTCTTCTCTTAATACATATCAGTTGTTTTCCATTTTCTAGAGATCTGGGTTTTCAAATTTCGGAATCAAAGACTTTGTTCACTCTGTACATGTATGTATATATATATATATATATATATATATTCTGGACATGTGTATTAAAATGAAATCCAAATACACATATATATTCTGGGTTTTCATACATATATATTATGATGTTGTGGCCCAAATTTGGTGCTAGGTTGCAACGCAACCCGACGACCCGTTTGATGAGCTTTGTGTGGGCCCAATCTCACCAAAGCTCTGGTGGTTCGTGGGCTTGGCCCCGAGGAAAATTTTTGACCAGTTTTTGCTTATGGGTAGTGGACCCTAATTAGTACTCTCTTGTAGCCCGATATATAAGGGCACTTAGAGGTTTGGAGTGTGACATCAAGAGACTGAAAATCGTACAGAGAAAGAGAGTGAGGGGCTGAAACTTGTAATCTCTGATTTTACATGTAGTGAAGATTTTCGCTGAATTTCCACCGTGGACGTAGGCTTTTTCGAACCACGTATAAATCTGTGTTCTTTTAGCAGTGTGTTTATTTTTCTGTCGTGTTTCGCAATTGTTGCTTGGTTCACTGCGTTTGTTGTAACACACACACACACACACATATATATATATATATGTTCTTGTGTTGTACATAATTTAGTTTTTTTTTTTTTCATCTTATATTTTTGTGTTATCACTATTCGTACTTCTTTTTTTTTTTTTTTTGATAAATAAAATTGTATTAGAAAGCGTTCAAAAGGGGAATGCATACCAAGAGCTAAAGAAGGGCTGAAGCCAAAAAGAGAGTCCTACGGACCCAAATAACCAAAAAAATTCCATGAATTCATCTAAAGATATACGATTTCTCCCCATTACCCAACTAAAAAGAGAATTAAGAATAGAAAATTTCAGCAGAGGATTCCTCCCTATCAAAAGATCTTCTATTCCGTTCTTTCCAAATGCACCACCAAACACAAAGGGGTGTCACCCTCCAAAACTCAAAGCTCTGATACCAAACTAATGCCGCCTTACCAAGAGGAGACGATCAAATTGTCTTCATAGCAATTTTGAAATGAAATAGAAAAATAACGATGCAAGAGAAAAGGAGAAATTGCAAAGAATGGCAAAGCAAATTTTATTTGCTGTAAAAATAATCGCTTCAACTAAAACTGATTGAGCCTAGAAATTACAAGGCTTTATATAGAATTTCTTCCTCCCCAATCCTAGCCTTGTATTAGCTAACTACCAAATATAAAATAAAACCAAAACAGGAAAACTGCTGAAAATCAGAAAACTACTCAAAAAGGAAAGCTGATGAAAATAAGAAAACTACTCAAAATAAGAAAACTTTCAAAATATGGGAAGTCTCCGAAAAACAAAAATTCCCTTGCAGAAATTTGATATTCTGCCTGCATCACCCTGAAAGTGACATTCATTGCAAAAGCTTCACCTAGTTTATATATGATGCTAATAGACATAGGTGCTTTCAGCTTATCTTAGTATGCTGCTTCACATTCACATAATCCCGAGATAATGTATCTAGTTAAGGAAATTGTTAACATAAAAGAATTGCATTCTGGAACCTGAATAAAAGACTGACGTTGTGTAACTACCTGCCTTTACAGCATCAGTAGCCAAAGGTCCTTGAGTAGACGTGATTAGAATGGTCGAATTGCACATCTCAAATAATAATGGAAAAACCATATTAAAGAAGTCCGGATTATTGAAGGCTTTAACAACCTGAGAAATCGACAAGGAACATGAAGAAACATGAAATACATGTTAAACTCAAGTAAAACAATCAGATAGATGTCTGAAAGACGAAATTGCCACTAGGTAGCAACATGAGCTCTTGAGATATTAGAAAATTAGTCCAAAACAATCACTGGAACTTCAACAGGAAAGAAATTGATTGTATAAAGAAGACGACTAAATGAAAATGATATTATTTTCCCACAAAAATGCATGACGAATCACTAGAAGAATAAAGAACAGGGCTCTCCATCTTCCTGCGGTAAATGTTGTTTACAGGCAACACTTCAAACACATAATATATAGGTTATTTAAACTTTCATTTATACATTTTTTGCATGAAGTAGAAATGCAGGTACATTATTATCCAGCTGCGGCACTAAAATCTTGGAAGTGTTTTTTTTTTTCATAAATAAATCTTGGAAGTTCTACCAATGAACTTTTGAACATGACCTGGTAATTATCTCGTTCAACTGAACCATTAAGTTTTGCATTAATAGTAACTAGTGTATTTGATAAAGTATGCAATTATGTAATAGGAAAATGGCCAAAAAAAATTGGTGATCATTTTTGTTTACTGCCAGTTAGCATTGTAGAATCCTTAAATTCTCAACCGCAAACAACTGATTCAACGTCCTTTCAGAAAACCAAATCATCGGCAGACTCTTATCAAGAATTGAGGAGTCATAAGATTCAGAAGTCAACCTGTCTTGTACAAATGAATCAGGATTCCATATTTTTATAACAAGACTAATGTTTATCTACCAAATCCAAAATTTTATTCCAACATAACCAATTTCTAGAAATAGACATAGCAAATTCTAGAAACTGCTGGTGCTGGCATAAGTAGCTGAGTAACTGGCCAAAAAGTATCGGATAAAGTTGTCTGCGAAGTCTGCAGCAGACAAGTATAGTTGGCTGAGGGGTTGAAGCTGTTTGAACGGCCATAATCCCATTCTTCAAGTATTGTTGTATGTGGTTTCATATACCTGTTTTCTTTGGATGAATAAGTTTTTAGGGCCTGTTTCACATGAGGAAACTCCACAAGTATCATTTTCCTGAATCTTATTTCTTCTGAGACATTTTTATCAACTTCTACAGTACAATCTGTGGGTGCTGTTATGCATACTGAGTGCAACTGTTTGATGAACTGATGAGAAGAAAATTTGAAAATATTATACTAATGTTTAAGATGTGATATTTGGATGAATTCACTCACAACTCTTTTTTTGAAAGCGTTCAAATGGGGAACGTGTCCCAAGACCTATACAAAGGCCAAAGCCAGAGACAAGGTCCTCAGGACCCAACGAACAAATTCACTCACAACTCCTGTCTATCTTGTAGTTTTAATTGAGCAGCTGTGATCCTAATTTATGCGTTGTGAAGTATAGCGTCAGTTGGTCTCTTTGTTACAAGAACTTACAACTTTCCTATGCCCATTAATGTACCCGCGTCAACACGGCATGAGCTGGGTACGAGAAATGTGCTTGACAGACTGCTGGATCCTCTAATTATGGTGATGAAAGAAGAAAAGTTGTAAATCAAAAAAGGGTTTCATACTTTTGAGTAAATGAAGTTTCCCTTTTTTTCATCAAATTTCATTTAATTTAAACTACCATTGAGTATAATTTTTAAGAATAATAGCATTATCCTTTACACTGTTATGTGGTATATTATTTTAAGAGTGAAAGGTGTGTTCAAGTATCCATATCCAAGTTTTAAATATCCTAAGATTTGGGATTCAGAAGGTCCAACAGCTAGACACATACCTGGACCCGTTTGATATATCCAAGTCCATGTAACATAGGTTGATGTGCTTTTATGGGCTTTCAAGTGATCATTGCTTGGTGTTTGTGCAATTTTGCTTGGGCAGCTTACTGATCTTCTTTTGAACTATGATTTTAGTAGGTTTCTTTTCTTATGACGGTTAGTCAGTATGTGCAGAAAGCATGGTTAGAGCCCTCATGCCCTGTAATTGCTGTTATAACTAAATTTAGGCAGGATTCTTTTAGAGGCGGTTTTCGTTATCTAACATGGTGTCCAAGCTTTGGTACTCGAATGTCTTGGATCAAGTCTAAGAATCTACACTTATTCTCCCATTATTTCTGTCTATGCACGTTTCCAATATGTTATTCTGTATATCTTCCTGCCACTTCAACTTCATGATGTAAGCACATGTGAGGGAGTGTGTACGATATTGATATACATCATTGGCCACATTCCTTAACAGTTTACGGTTTTGGAGGAATTGGTCGGCACAAAGAGAAAAGAAAAGAAAATAAATTCTAAAGGCTTAAGAAAGGAATTGAATTTAGAGAATTCCTCTCACTCTCTTCAGGATTCAATGAAACTATGTCCTCGTCCTCTAAAAACTGTGTCTGATTACATTTAGAAGGGGTATATTGTGTAATTGATTGTTAATCTATTTCCAACATATATACTTGTTTCTCCAAAATGATATATGAAGCCTATAAAAGAAGTGAGGGATCCTCAAACATTTCAAAAATGGAAAAATTGAGACATAGTTTAATTGTCTCAATGGCACGTCCAAAGTTTAAGAACTGGAGATGAGGAATCAAAACAAGTATGAATTAACTATTGGAAGTATACTTTGCAAGAACTTTACTGTATATTTACCTTCTCTAGACAGCAAAGAGCTGCTTCACGATATATCTTGACCTTCTTTGTGCATGCAGAAGATATCATATTCAAAATGGAATTTGGTGTGTTGGAGTCCCTAGAAGCAATTTCTTTATGGCAAGACGAACAAAGAGCAGCTAATGCATATAATAAAGCATCTTTTCCCTGCAATGGAAAAATTAATCTGAGAAGAAACTAGTGCATACTACAAAAATCTTATTATATTCACATACTCAAGAAACTAAATTATAGAGGAAACTGAAAATATGAGACTTAAGCTTTGATATACTAGAAAAGACCAATTGCATATACAAAAAAAAAGGGAGGTAGGTTAAATATTAATAAATCAAGAGAGAGAGTGATAGACATGTAGGAAAAAAGGGTAGAAAAAATATACTATTTATGCATTGAATGATACATATTGATGAGCTAAGAAGGAAGGCTAATTTTGTGTTTGACTTGTTTTCGAAGAAAAAGCATGGGGACAATGCATAGAATTTAGCCAAGGATTAGCCGGGATGTTGTTTATGTCAAGCATTGAGCATTCGAGAAGCGGATTAGTTTGAGAAAGGAGAGTGAGATCAAGGAAAGGTGGAAGAGTGAATGTCCAAATTATTAGATGATAACTAGATGCGTGGCTTTAATTTATGAGAATTATAGGTAAATTAAACATATAATGATAGGTATTCTGAAAGAAAGGTGTACCCGAATAGAAAGTGACTTCGTTTTTAAGATGTAATATTGGAAAATTTGTTGGTCCTGATAGTACTTCCATTGAAGACAGGAAGCGTAAGGGTAATACCATAAATTGATTGAGAAACTTAGTACACAAGTTTTTAAAGACTAAAAAATGCACAACAAAAGAACAGGAAGATTTTAAAGAGAAATTACTAGAGTTATATTAGTATTTGCAATATCAAACTTACAGGAAATAATATATATTCTGAAACCTAGTGATATGATTTTTTTCTTTAATGAAATTATGAGAATATTAATTTGGCTTTAACAACAGAAGATCAACTATAAAAGCTACTGAAATGGTACATTCCTTCTTTTCTCTTCAAAATAAAAAAAAATAATTTATCAACTTAGAAAATACTCACACGGTGTTAAGTTTTAGGAAAGTAAGGGTTACAAAATAGATATACAGATATGAGGAATGACAAGTATAATGGAGTAGCAACAAGAGTGAGATGAGAACTAGAGGAGAAATGATTAAATTAAGTTTATGCAACAGTGCAGCTAAACTGACGATTTTGAGCAGGAAAAAAGTGGCAGCAACAGAGAAAATATTTGCAAGAAGTTAGAAGTGGCAGTGACTAAAAGAAGTCGTCTTTCTTGTGGTAGATGAAACTCAAAGAAGTTGGTTTAGTCAAATGTGACGAAGACTAATAAACAAATAAATAGTGAGAGGTAATTTGATTAATGTAGAATTCAATATAATGGCTGAAAGCAAGGCAGAAGAAGAATATGGTTCAAGGTCTGAATGACAAAAAGGTGTTCCAAATAGATAGTTGGACTCTAAATTAATTGATTGACAAAAAGAATTTGTGCAATCAAGAGATTTAAAGCAGAGATAATTGTGTACTTATCAAGTGCCTAAGTATGCATAGCTATATTATATACAGTAATGGTAAGTGAAATCAGAGTACATCATTTCACAAGTACACCTTTCTGACAAGGCTTAATGAAAAATGCCTTTTCTTATATTTGCTTCAAATTCGTTGTACTTCTATAATAAACACAAGAAACACATGATAGTAAAATTTTACCTCCCATAAACGACCAGGAACTTCCTTCATGAGAGATTTAAGCAGATCGTCACTATACGGAGATAAAGATTCACCCAAGACTTCACTAAGCTTACTAATTGCCTGGGCTGACTGCAAACACAAGATACCCAAGAGAAAGGGAGGGAAAAAAACAAAAGGAACAGAATAAAAACCAAAATTCACAATCAAACGTCTCAAATATACGCTCAAACTCCATTTTGGAAATATTGCAATCCATAAGAAAATAAGATTGTAGAGGAAGACATTAAAAAGAAAATGTGAGAAAAGAGAACACCTACCATTTTTTTACTTGCCCATGATGATGACACAAGGCCCTCACAAATAAGCGAAGTAATTTCTCCCAAATACAATTGAAGGGTGACCCTTTCACTGCTCATATTTTCTTCCCACAATTCCTCAAACAGACTAGAAACGTTCTTGTCATCCTCAAATCTACAAAGCAATTAACATTTAGTGATTTAAGTGCGAAGTGCATTACTCAGTGATAATTAACATAATAACTAAAATCTAGTGAAAATAAACCTATCTTTAATTTCGCAGGATAAATATGAAGATCTAACACATAAAAGGAAAAACTTTTTAAGTACCATGAGTTCTTTTAGTTTTTTTCTTACAAGATGTACTGGTGCATGCTTCTCAAATGGGACTTCAACACTGGCACCAGCGCATTTTGCAGGAGATCAGATTAAGGAAAAAATCATTGAGTGATAAGGGTTCTGCGGCATTGCTACCCAAGGCCAACTAGAACATATGGTGATCCAGAGTTGGTTGTGATTAGTTCGGGGAAGGGAAATGGCTAGTTCGATCGAGGGAAAACCAAGGGCAAGTTCAAGTTGAGAAGCTGCCTACTTCCTGTTTACCTACTTATTGGAGAAGTAAGCGGGAAAATGTAAGACTTTTATAGAAGGCTTTGTCCCACATTGTATAATTTAAGGTGCTCAAAGAACTTATATAATATTTTGTTTAAGGGCTCATTTGGGAGCCTGTCTGAGATATCACAGTGCATGATATGGGACACAATGCAAACACAAGCATAGTCAAGGCATACACTAGGATCTGGCATCCGTTTTGCAAATTTTATCTCTTCTATAACCTTAATTTTGATACGCATTGCGTCTCTGACTATTAACTGACATGACCTATAAATTTCTCAATGGTTTGATACATTATTGTTTAATTCATTGGGTTTCTGTTATTGCCATTTTGCACCAACTGAATGGGCTTACTTTTTATCTGGCCATAATGGATTTATTTAGGCCTTCAAGGCTTAGGATACCTAAGCCCCTATAAAATTGGCTGCTGGGAAACCTCTAAACAGAGAACACGCAGACCTCTTCAACTCTCCCTCAGAGTACACGTGTCTTCCAATTTCCATCTCTGGCCATGGAAGAACTTCTGGCGAAATTTCCGCCAAATTTTGTGGCCCTCATCCTGACATCTTCCAGAAGAATTCTGATGACTTTTCATCCTTAATTGTGAAGTTGTTTTGACCATTTTTGTTATAATACTCCCTCCATCCCAAAATTCTTGTCCATCTTTCTATGTTGAGAAGTCCCAAAATACATGTCCCATTCCAAAAATGAATGTCCTATTTTTTATAACATTCCCAAACTATCCTTTTGACATTGACTTGATCAAACAAATGCATTAATTACGGAGTACTCATTTGTCTTTTAACAAGGATAAATTTGGAAATTCACTATCATCAATACAATAAAAAAGTATTAAAAACCCACTACCATAAAAAGTTGGATTTCCCAAACACACCAAGAATTTTGGGGACGGGGAGTATTTGTTGCGTTAAACGTTTGTATAAATTTTATGAGGACATTATTTGCTGAGTTCAAATTTTCAATTGTGAGTGAACATGATTTTCAAGCTATAATTGATCTTGAAAGTTGATCACTTGGGAACGATTGCACCCATTCAAGAGTAATGCAATCTTAGTGGGGGAGAATTTACTTCTAAAGATAGTTGATTTGCTTAGAGAAGGTATGATTTCCAAGGGATATAATTTAGTGGGCCTTACATAGAAAACAAGTCCCTTTAAATCTAATTAACATTATTAAGGATATGTATGAGGATTCCAAGACTAGCATCCAATGTCCATACCGATTGTGGAGAAACTAACAATTTCTCTATAAAGTTGGCAGTACTGCATTTTTTCAAGAATAAGTAAAACCAATAGCACATTCAACCGGTACAAAAAATAGTATTAAAAGTTGAATCCTATTCTGTTTAAGAACTTAAAAAAAAAAAAAAAACACTTCAACTAAATTCAAAAAGAAATGTACCAGTACAAGGTCTCTTACAACTGGTACAGGTGTTCTGGATGTATTTAAAACTCAGACAGAATCACATTCTACCGGTACAAGGATAATCACTATCAGTAGTACTGCATTTTTTTCAAAAATAAGTAAAACCAATAGCACATTCAACCAGTACAAAAAATAGAATTAAAAGTTGAATCCTATCCTGTTTAAGAACTTTAAAAAAAAAAAAAAATTACAAAAACACTTCAACTAAATTCAAAAAGAAATGTGACTTCACAGCACTCACTTAAATGAAGCAAGTGTTATTCAACCAAGTTTGTTCAGATTCAAGCTTTTTATGATCAATGCACACACAGTTTCCGTGCACTTGGAAACAAAGACTCAAAGAAATTAAAACACAACTCAATAAACATAGATTTGACTAAATTAATTTGCCATAATACAATTAGGTTTCTAACAAAAGATGCATTATTGGACAATTCTTTCTTGTTTTATTTATTTTTTTTCTTTCTCTAATGCCTGTTAAAGTTTCTTAATTTTATTTTTTTCAATTTTTTATTAAGATATTTACCTTGCTCAAACAATACATTAGTGGTTGTTTGGAGCTTAAAAGGATCATCATCATTTTTTTATTTTCTATTTTTGCTCACTTCCAATGAAACAATCAGCAGTGTCCTCAATGTCACTATCTTAATCATTAGTCTTACCATCGGAAGTACTCAGAAGACCCACAATTACTACCAAAGCAACTTGAGATACCTCATCAGCCTCATAAGAATCACCACTTTCTGACTTAAAGGAATTAAAGAGTGTAGCCTTTATGACTTTAGCCTTACCCTTCTTTTCGCCTTTCTTCTCACAACTAGGTTTCTTAGGGCATTCTCAAAGAACATGACCCTTTTCCCCACAATTCCAGTAAGTGACTTTTTTTGTACTGTGTCCTTTCTATTTTTTCCTAGAGTCTTCCTTATCCTTAGAACTACCATTCTTACTAGACTCTGAGTGAAATTTTGATTTCTTCAGAAATTTCTTAAATTTCCTAGTAAGCAGCACAATGTTGAGTTCACACTTTATGGCATTTATTAGAACAAGTAGCGCAATCCTTAGAACATGACTCTTTCTTTATGGCCTCAAATGCTTATTCTTTCTAGGAGGAGGGTTAATTAACTCAAAAATCTGCACTGAACTAACTAGATAAACGACCTTTATGCTCTCTATGTTTTCGCTCTTTCTTTATTGCACTGACCTTAGATTGGAATTGTTGAGGAAGCAACCAAAGGAGTATCCTAACCACTTTTTTTTCAGGAATAGGTTCACCCAACACGAAGCTACTGTTAATTGTGTCACTTATCATAGTTGTTGAGCAATTTAAATATTAAACTTACACCCTCTCGAACAACATAAGCTTTTCGAGTATATGGTTGTTACTTGTTAGCATGGTATCAGACCTGTATTCAAACCTCACCATCACCCTGATAATTAAAAACTGAAACACGTATTGGACCAAAAGAAGGCAACACGTAAGGAGGCGTGTTGAGGGATTTAAATATTATAGTTACACCATCTCTAACAGCTTAAGCTTTTAGAGTAGATGGTTGTTAACAACAGTGTAAAAGTCATTGAAAGTATTATGGCCACCCATCCAAAGATTTTCAAATTTGGTGGTGAACATTTGCAACTAAATTTTTTCTTGCAGTAGCTCCTCATGAACTTCCTCTAGGACGCCAAGCATCTTTAGCAACAAATATACAGTTTATAATCCAACCAAATTCAGTAGCATTAACAGCGGAACCCCTTGATAGATATCGTTTTTATGATTAACTAATTTAAAGTACTCCCTCCGTTAGACCTGTCAATGGAGCGGATCCTGATCCGGATCCGATCCGAATCCAATCCGATTAGTTGGATATGGATTGAACAAAAAATTCGATAACCCAGTTACGATCCGAATCCAATAATATGTTAGCTTAACAAATCGGACTTGGATTATGCTGATCCAATCCGATAAAAATCTGATCCAATCCGATTGAAATTATATATATAAATATATAATTATTTATCAATAATTTTACACATATATATATCAATACTCATATTAGAATTGTATTAGAGGTAACCCAAAAATCCAAAATAATAATAATGTTATATATAAATATTGTGGTGTTCTCATCCACATGCTAATAAATCTTTTAGTACACATACTAATAAAATCATAGTCTTTATAATTATATATATTAGTAAATATTAATTTAATCCGATTTCGAATCCGATCCGATCCGAGTCCGAGCTAAATATGATATGGATTGGGACATTCAGTCCAAGAACCCGTTAGTGATCCGAATCTGATAATCCGTTTGCTTAACAAATAGGATATGGATTTGATCAATCCGATCCATTGACAGGTCTACCCTCCGTCCCAAAATAGTTGGGCACTTTGGGAACTGTGACTCACAATTTTGTGAGTCACAATTCCCAAAGGGCTCAAGTATTTTGGGACAGAGGGAGTAACAAAATGACTACATGAAAATTATCTTACTGATGACAACCGAACAAAAAATCCTAATATAGCAACATGAGAAAGTAAACATTTAACACCAACCTTGAAACAAAAATAACAGGAATGATAGCAGCATGAAATCCACTCAGTATATCTGTGGCAATTGAAGAATAGCTTTTCAATAGAATTGCACACGAAATCTGATCATTCCTGTCACCAGTATGCAAAACTGCAGTATCTTCAATTAACTTCTGGGCTTGAGAAAGAGCTGCATACTTTAAAATTGTTGCACAAGCATTTGCAAAGGCACGTTTTGCGGCAGCACTTTTTTCCTCTTTAACAACCGGAAACAAAATTTTCAGTAGCAAGGAAGTAAATGGTTTGATATCGACATGAACTTTTTGAACTAATAATCTAATAAAGTTTGCCAAGCCGACCCTGCAAGAATATACGAAGATCAAAGCAGACATTTGTAAGATTTGAAATATCTTGACTAATCCACATTTAAAGAGAACTCTATTTCCGAAAACAAAATTCGGAGGAAAAAAATCCAGATGAGAACTCTTCAAGCTAATAAATATGTAATGTCATACCAACTCTTAAAGATATAGCACAACAGAAATGTAGCGACTCGTACTTATATTAACTATTAAAATATTATTTAATATGATAATAACGGATCTAAATTTTAGTTTGTTTTAATGTTCAACTGATAGATGAAGATTTGCAGACTTCAAATTATTGACATTAAAATTTAGGAACTAGGGCTTCAGAAGACAACGAATATGAAATTGATGTTCTGGTTTTTCATTCTATTTCATCTCTTACCACTTAAGTATTACAGTGGAAAAGACTAATATGCCCCCAGGAGAGATACTAATTACATTATATGCAATACAAGGCTTTCTTTAGGCGACATTGTGACAATACTCAGCCGGAGCAACAAACCCAGGTGGTTGCTCCATACAGACCTCTTCATCTAAGTCGCCGTATGGGAAGGCATTTTTGACATCCAACTGAAACAAGGCCCAGTTAAGATTAGCAGCAAGAGAAAGTAGAACTCGAATGGAAGAAATCTTGGCAACAGGGAAAATTGTCTCATCATAATCAACTCCATAAGTCTGCGTATAACCCTTAGTAACGATACGAGCTTTGAATCGCTCAATTGAACCATCGGGAAGATATTTGACGGTATATACCCACTCAAAAAAAATAATAATAATAATTTGTTTAAAAAATGTATAGATTCCTTATCATTGGAAAGCCATTTTTCAGAATGTCATTTAAAATCAAACTTTGAGTCTCTCCAAGATCAACCTAGTTCTTTTAAGGTCCTCCTTAGGTCATTTGACCTGTACGCTTAATATGTGATTGAGAATATCGATTTCTCGTCATGTGCAACTCTATCTACATTGTCTTCAACAGTTGTATTGATGACCTAAAACACTTTGACACATTACAACCCACGTTTTGAGTACGAAATTTCCAACACATGACTTATATACTTAACACGTGCCTATTTTAACCATCTTGATTCTAGAATTTATTTGAAAATGCTTACTTTTTCAAGTATATAGATTTTCCACACTTAGGATTCGGAATCTACATTTTGAAAAAGATAAGTTAGGTTTAATCTCTTTCTTTTTTAATAAGTAAATTAGGTTTAATTTCATTGCCAACTGAATATTTAATAAAACCTGAAACTCGTAAAGGTCAACGCTGTAAAAGAATTTCATACTTCTCAAAATTTTGGAAGATATTAAATTTGAGATTTATGAAATTTTCAAGATTGATTATCATGCCTACTTTACTTAGAATTTAGTTTGCATACAACATAATTGATGAAAATTATTAATGAATTTATTAGTGCAGACAGACTTACAAATTCAAGTAATTTAGTACCAATTTTTGACCAATATAACTATATATTTAAGATATAATGCATAAATGATCACCCTCAGAATCGAGAATGACGGATTGTTTTGGTTCAGGACATTGCATGAATACATAATTCTTGAAGAACTACATAATAATACGATGTGAAGTACAGTAAAAGGATTTATGGCTCGTTGGGTTGTTCTAGTTTCTGTTGGGAATGCATGTTCATATCAAGAGTGCAATTGCTGTATTGGGGATGTTTTAACATATTTATCCCTGATTGTATTATACAACTTATCCCTGATTGTATTATACAACCTATCTATGACAGGCAGTATTAGTAAAGTTGAATTAACGTTTCTCTGGTTGATGTAAATTAAATATATTTCTCAACTCATGAAATCAAAGGTTTGCTGATTTCAGTAACTAGCTAAAACAAAAGTGTTGCTCAATTGATGATGATAAATTGATGAAGTTGTGGTGATTAGGGTCTCTGAAGGAGAGAAGAAGATGGAGAACTTAGAAGAAAAAAAAACTGTATTAGGGAGCCGCACCCTCTATCTCATTCTTTCTTCTTATTTATAGTTGTGTACAAGGGTAGATAGACAATACAAAGACTAAATTACCCCTATGGGGTAAACTAATTACATGTGTGTTCTAATATGACTATTCCAACACTCCCCCTCAAGCTGGAGAATATATATAATATAATCCCAGATTGGAATAGATAGCATTCAATTGTTTATGACCAAGAGCTTTAGTGAACATATCAGCCAATTGATCTTCAGACTTCACGAATGGTGTAGAGATGTTTCCACTCAATATTTTGTCTCGAATAAAATGACAATCAACTTCAATATGCTTAGTCCGCTCATGGAACACTGGATTAGAGGCAATATGAATAACTGCTCGATTATCACAAAACAACGGAGTAGGGGTTTGAACTCCTAAACCAAGTTTTTCAAGAAAATGTTGTAGCCATGTCAACTCACTAGATGTATGAGCCATTGCCCTATACTCGGCTTCTGCACTAAACCGTGCTACCACTGTTTGCTTCTTACTCTTCCATGTAACTAGATTACCTCCAAAGAGGGTGCAGTATCGTGTAGTGGATCTTCTATCTTGAACCAGCCCGGTCAGCATCTGTAAAATCTTCCACCTTAAGGTGCACATTGGATTTATACAACAACCCGAGCCCTGGAGCTCGTTTAAGATAACGAATAATCCGAACAATAGCATTCCAATACAGCAATCTAGGAGCTCCCATGAACTGACTCACTACACTAACTGCACATGAGATATCGGGTCGGGTAATGGTGAGATAAATTAGTTTTCCAACCAACCTTCAGTATCTGCCAAGGTCATCAAATAAATCACCTTCATCAGTTAGAAGTTTTGTGTTCGGATCCATAGAAAAATCGACTGGACAGCCACCTAACAAACCTATTTCTTCTAACCAGTCCAGCACATACTTTCTTTGAGACAAGCTGATACCTTTCTTTGATCTAGCTACCTCAATGCCCAAAAAATATCTCAGTTTGTCCAAGTCTTTAGTATGAAACCGATGTTGTAGAAACTCCTTCAACGTAGCAATGCCCGCAAAATAATCACCTGTGATAACAATGTCATCCACATACACTACAAGGAAAATGAAACCTACTCCAGTATGTTGATAAAATACTGAATGATTTGTCTGGCATTTGTGAAGACCAAACTCTAATGTAACCTCAGAAAATTTACCAAACCAAGCTCTCGGAGATTGTTTCAAACCATAAAGGGCCTTCTTTAAGCGACAAACACTGTGTCGGTACTCTCCCTGACCAACAAACCTAGGTGGTTGCTCCATGAAAACCTCTTCAACTAAGTCACCATGTAAGAAAGCGTTCTTAACATCCAACTGAAACAAAGGCCAGTTACGATTAGCAGCAATAGAAATGAGAACTCGAATAGACGAAATTTTGGCAACAGGAGAAAAAGTCTTGTCATAATCAACACCATAAGTCTGTGTGTATCCCTTTGCAACAAGGTGAGCCTTTAAACGCTTAATAGAACCATTAGGAAGGTATTTAACAATATAGACTCACTTACACCCAACGGGTTTGGTACCAGAAGGAAAGGGAACAAGCTCGCATGTCCCATTATGATGAAGGGCATCCATTTCATCTTCCATTGGTTTCCTCCAACCCGGATCAAAAAGAGCATCCTGCAGAGTCTTTGGAACAAGAATAGCAGACAACTAGGATGAAAAATAGGAGAAAGATAGTGACAGAGAATTATATGACACATTGTTAGTAATGGGATGATGAGTGACACATGACGAGTACCCTTACGTAGAGAAATCGGTAATGAGTCAAACAGAGTAGACGGGGCCGGATCCATAGACTCCGAAGAAGGCGGGTGAGGCATGTTAGGCGGCTTGGGCCTGCGAGTGTAAACTTGTAAAGGAGCAGTAGATTGGGAAGGAGAAAGGCTAGGAGACAGTGAGGGAAGAGGAACAGGTGACAAAGATGACTCTGGAGTAATATCAATAGGAGAACTGCAATCTGAAAAAATACGGAGCAGTCTCACAAAAAGAGACGTCAGCACTAGTGAAATATTTCCTAAGGGTATGACTGTAACACCGATAACCCTTCGAAATGCGAGAATATCCAAGAAACACACATTTAGTGGCACGAGGGTCAAGTTTGTCAAAGCCTGGTCCGAGGTTATGGACATAACATACACACCCAAAGACGCGAGGAGTAAGAGGGAACAAGGCGGAATCAGGAAGATGACAGAATGAGGAGATTTTCCACTCAACACGGAGGATGGCATACGGTTAATTAGATAACAAGCGGTAAGGACAACATCACTCCAAAATTGTTTAGGGACATGGATATGAAACAAAGGAGCTCAAGCCACTTCCAAGAGGTGACGATTTTTACGCTCAGCCACCCCATTTGGTTGTGGGGTATAAGTACATGAGGTTTGATGAATAATGCCTTTAGCGCGAAAATAACTATCAAATGGATCAGAGGCATATTCTTTGGCATTATCAGAATGCAAAATTTTAATGGAACATTGAAACTGAGTTTTGATTTCTTTGCGAAATGTTTGAAATATAGAAAATAATTCGAAGCGATTCGGCATTAAAAACAACCAAGTCATACAAGAATGATCATCCACAAATGTCACAAAATAATGAATTTTATTACTAAAAACATGTTTTATTGGTCCCCATACATCCGAATGAATTAACTGAAAAGGACTAGACACACGATTAGCGACTCGAGATTTGAAAGATACACGATTATGCTTACTAAGCTCACAAGCTTCACATGACAAAGACACAACATTACAATCTTCTTCTTCGTCTCAAGATCCTGAAAAACACAACATGAGGGATAAAATGTAACGAAACAATGAAGAGTTTTAGTAATCTTACTAATAGACATCCAACTAAAAGGAAATTGAGGAACATATAAACAGAACAAAGAGACAAAGAAGAGCCTCATGAGTTGTCCCTAAACCTGAAACCTTAGATGATTAACCACTAGCAAGAGTAACACTTTGAGAAGGAGATAATGAATGAAATTCAGATAAAAGGTGAGAACTACCGGTCATATGGTCTGATGCTCCGGAGTCGATAATTCAAGGGCTATGAGAGGAAGACAAGAAACATGCAGGGGTAATACTTGATTGGGCGAAAGAAGCTCTGGAAGATGAGGTAGGTGCATGTTGCTGAGACAAGCTGCACATACTCAACACGTGGGATAGTGATCATATCAGACTCAACAACCTGGTGAGAATCAGTCGGTGAAGCTTGTGGAATAAAAACATCCGCTTTATAGGACACCTGATTTGCATGGGCAGATGGTTTCAGTTTACCATGAAGATCCCAACAGTAATTCACAATGTGATTAGACAGACCACAATGAGTACATTTTCTGGATTCTCTACTACAGCCGCGACCCCCCCTTGAGTCACGGCCACCACGTGTAGAACAACCGCCACGACCTCCACGAGAATTATTGGGTCCACTCTAAGAGACAGTTAAAGCTGAATGTTCACCGCCATTATTAGTGTGTCTAACTGAAGTGTCATGAGAGAGAGTAGCTCGCTGGAGTCGGGAAAATACCTCAGGAAGAGATGGAAAACTGGGGCTGCCCAAAATCTGGGCACAAATCGGCTCATATTCTGATGACAAGCCAATGAGAAACCGAACAACATTAAACTCTGCACGTTGTTGTTGCATACACTGAACATCAGAGGTGAGTGGTTGATACATATTCAGTTCTTCACAAATTCCCATTACTTTGGAATAATATGCTTCTAAACTTTGATTTACTGAAATTTGGATCATCTGTTTTTGGTTTATCCTTACTGAGATGGCTGCCAAGGCCTCTAGCTTTAAGAGAAAACTCTACTGATTTGGCCCACAGGATGTACTTTTTGCCATTAAGCTTAACAGAGGTCACTGGAGGGTTGAATGAGGCGGTGGAGGAAAAAAGGTCAGAATTTGATGCCATGATAGCAAGGATGGTGTTGATTCAAGACTGAAATTGCAGGGACAGATAACCAGAGAGAAGACCAAAAAATGAGAGGAAAAAAAAAACCTGGAACAAAATATTCTTTTCACGTATCCGAGGCGGATCGGATCAGAAAACTGGATCAAGTTGGCTTGCTCCAAACGGGTCAAAGTGGATATTAAATCTGGATCAGATTATTCAGACTTGGAACAAGCAATCTTCACAACCAAACACACCCTGTCTTCTCCAAACTAAGGTACGATGTTTAGACAAAAAAAGGCAACCACTGGTGTGTGTGTGTGTGTGTGGCGATGACGAAGATGAACTGAGACGATGGGCTGAATCAACAACGAGAATAATGATAGGCTTAGACGACAACCAGCAATCAGAATGAAGACAACACAACATATTTGATCTCCATCACGATTTCGATCTCTACGAGATGCAACAACTGTGATCACAAACACAATTTCATTCTCCCACACCCACAATATCGATTTGCCCTCATACCATGTTGTGATTAGGGTTTCTGAAGGAGAGAAGATGGAGAACTTAGAAAAAAAAACTGTATTAGAGAGCCGCACCCTCTATCTCATTCTTTCTTCTTATATATAGTTGTGTAAAAGGGTAAATAGACAATACAAAGACTAAATTACCCCTAAGGGATAAACTAATTACATGTGTGTTCTAATATGACTATTCCAACAGAAGTCACCAAGACTCGCAGAAGTTACCAATTTGGGGGACAACCACCAAAGTCAAACCTTGGCATTTGTTTGGTTCCAGGCCAACATATTTATTTTATGTGACTAGGAGCGCAAAGGACGCAATAAAATAATGTAAGGCTCTGTATACAAGTCTTCTCATATAGTTGTCAGCCCAACAGGTAAATCAGTTCTAAAAGATTTCTCCAACATAAATCGTCAAAATTGCACTTTCTCAAACTTTACATAAACTTTTCAAATACTGTTCAATCAAAGAACAATAAATGTTTGATAAAACTGAAAATTAAGTACTGAAAATTTTAATTGCTGAATTTTAAGTGATGAAATTTTTAAGTGGTAACTAAAAAGTAAATATTTTTTTATATCTTTTTGAATTTTCAGCGTTCCGCATTCAATGATAAGTGATATCCTCATCACTTAAAATTTTACCCCATTATAAGTGGCGCTTATTGTTTTTAGTGATATTCAAATTGCACTATCAAACACACTTAATTGGATAAGTACTTAATCTGTTCAGAATTAAGTGCTGCATTGAGTTACCAAGCAATTTTGCTTCATGTGTACAATTTAAAGAATTACAGTGAAAAGCTTTTACCACAAAAAAAAGAATCAATGTCAACAATTTTCCCTTGAAATAAAATTATATATCTTCATTACTGCATACCTAGTGTTTAGGCCAACTCCAGATCGAACCAACTGCGCAAGACGAGGAACCAACAATTCTAATGACTGGGTATCCACAGCCTCTATGCATAGGTCAAGAGTTTCCCACATTGGAGAGCCTTTTGCAATTGAAATACGCAAATTTTCAAGTTTCTCCATTTGTATACCAGCATTCGCTGCATGCAACTAAGAGAAGTAAAAATAAATAAATAAATGCAAACTCAAGACAACTGGATAAGAGGAAAAAATTGATAGAGCTCCAAAAAAGCAGATCAACATTCATCACAAAAGACCTCAACACAAGGTACACTATAAGATAAGAGTGTGATGATACTTATATTGCTACATTGGAACATGAAAATAGGCCATACCTCAACATAATTAAGGCCTTGATCCTCAAGGCTTGATAGACTTTCCAACATGCAACAAACTAGATCAGATAAATGTGGACGAATTGCAACCCCTGCGCTCTGCAAACAAAGCACAGAACAGGTCAGAAAAGTTGAGCAAATAAAATAGTATCCTAATACTATGAATAAGTTTATAAATTATTCCTCACAATCTTTAAAGCTGGACAACTGATTACATGATTACTTAATGTTAATCATAGTTCGGCAAATGTAACATAACAGCATGGAACAGGCATCAGCAAAACAAAAAAAAAAAAAAAAAAAAAAAGGGAACAAGGACATATGAAGCACTAAAATCTGTCAAAGTAGAACATTTTGCACAAACACGAGACCGATACAAAGGTTGAACCCTAACATAAGCAAACACACGAAACTTCTAGCTTAAAATTCTTTAATTTAAATTATGCATTGCAAGTGAATGGAAGAATGGGTTCTTTTGAGCCAACCCCAAAAATTGTGAAAACAAATTATTTGATATAGTATCAAATATCATCCCTGAATCAGATTGCCATTTTAGGTGACAATAGAAAGACTCCAAAACTAACACTATTTATATAAATAATAACGATGGCATTACCACTTTGACATTGTCGCACAAAGAAAGAATGATTTGATGTAATTTTCCTTTACCTATATTTTACCTAAAACCCACTAAATTTATCAAACCATGCCCTTTCACACTGTTTTAGTCTATAGATGGCTTTCCTCAACCTGCACATCATGCAGGACTCCCCTTGAGCAACAAAACCATGGTGTTGTTCCTTGTATACCTCTTCTTCAAGATCTCCATGGAAGAAAGCTTTTTAATACCAAGCTGGTTGAGTTGTTGATTATCTATTCCTGCAACTAATAAGAGATTCTGAACAAAACTAAGTCAAGCTTCAGGAAATAATTTTTCGAAGTAGACAACCCAAAATGTCCAAGGATAACCTTTCGCCATCAAATAAGCCTTCAACCTTTCAATTGAAGCATTAAATTTATATTTTATTGGTTAAACTCAATGACAACCCACCATTTTCTTCTAAAAGGCAAGGAAGTTAACTCCCATGTATTATTTTTCTGTAATGCCACCACTTCTTTATCCATAGCATGCTTTACTTGGAGAGAATGAGATCTGAATATTGGATTGAGGAACCAAAACAAGGACAAGGCAAAAACAAAGCACTAGAAGCATGGGTACAAGTTAGAGAAGGAAGCAACATGTACAACAGGATGATGAGTGCAAGAGCGAACACCTATACGTAGGGCAATAGTAACTTTTTATGTATGCAACAGGAGATCATCGGTTGACAACTTTTCAATTGAAGCCGGTGAGTTGTGGGAAAATATAATTGACATTACCCATAACCATTTTACAGGTGAGATAAGAGACAGAAGATGTAACAAGCAAAAGAATCATTCGATCAGTTTCCAATAACTGACCAAGGGAAGAAAGAAAGGAGTTTTATTAAAGGTCACATCCATACACATAAAGCGATGACAACTTGGAGGATTCCAACTTGGATGCTTTTTTTTTTTTTTGCTAAGTATATATGTATTCAAAAGCGTTCAAAAGGGGAACGCATCCCACAAAACAACATGACCTAATAGGGCCTTTAAACTCTCAAGAGTCCGCAAAAAAACAATCTCATCCATGGATTTACAATTTTTCTCAAGAACCCAACAAAAAAGAGAATTAATAATGGAGAATTTCAGCGCGCCAATAGGAATCTCCTTTCCTTCAAAAGATCGCCTATTTCTTTCAAGCCATAAGCACCACCAAACACATAAAGGCGTGACCCTCCAAAAGTCACGAGCTTGGGCCCCCACTATACAACCTCGCCAAGCCTCAACCAAACCTCTGGATGACCTAGGCAAAGCCCACTGAATCCCAAACAAAGTCAACATCAAAGTCCAACAGTCCCAAGCAACTGGGCAATGCAAAAGAAGATGACCAACTGTTTCCTCATTTCTCAAACACATGCAACAACAATTGACCACAACATGTCTCCTCCTCTTAAGATTATCCTGGGTCTAGATCTTCCCCAAAACCGATGTCAAGCAAAGAATGCCACTTTGAGAGGAGGCTTAGAACGCCAAATAGCCTTCCACGGGAATGCTTCCCCTGGAGCCTCCGCAAGACACCCAAAGAAAGATCAAACCTCAAAGCGACCCTAGGGAGATGGAATCCACGCCACAGAATCAGGAACTCCGTCCACAATATCCTGGCGATACAACAGCTCCAAAAAGCCAATAGCCTCTTCAATCTCCCAATCCTAAAAGTTCCTCACAAAACGCACGTCCTAAGACGTTCTCCCACTATCAAGGTGATAGCAGTAAAACACCAAAGCATGTTTGTCTGTGGCAATACTGAAGAGTCTCGGAAACAATAGGTCAAGAATGCACTCACCACACCAAATATCCTCCCAAAATCGAATCATGCTACCATCCCTAACTCGAAACCTGATGTGTTTAGAAAATTCATCCCAACCCATCCGAATGAATTTCCAAACACCAGCACCACCTGGGATTCTCACCTCAAGAGAACACCATCTGCCAAAATCCTCCCTAAATCTACTCGCTATCAATCTCCTCCATAAACAATGTCTCTCCAACCCAAATCTCCAAAGCCACTTCCCCAAAAGGCACCAGTCTTCTAATACCCAACCCACCTTTTCAAATAGGACTACACACCTGCTCCCAATTGACCAAATGATATTTAAACTCCTCCCCCTTCCCTCCCCATAGAAAGTTCCACTGCAACTTATCAATCCTCTCAACCACAACAGAAGGAATCTGAAAAAGGATAGGAAATAAGTAGGAAGACTCGACAATGTGCTCTTCATCAAAGTAACCCTTCCCCCCTTCGAAAGATACTGTTTCTTCCAGCCTGCCAGCCTCCTCTCAAGCCTTTCCACCACGGGATTCCAATTTCCCACTCTCCTTGTCGGCACCCCCAAGAGGTGGGCCCAAATAGGAAATAGGAAAAGAACCAATGCAACAGCCCAAATTGTTAGCAAGAGTATCAATCTCACAACCAAAACACTCTTTCCCAAATTCACCCTTAACCCGGATACAACTTGAAACCATAATAAAATGCATCTCAAAAATCTCATCTGAGCCACATCAGTATCACAAAAAACCAACATGTCATTGGCAAACATCAAATGGGAGATCTCAAGCTGAGAAGGAACATCTCTCTCCATCCGAAAGCCACACAAAAAACCCAGATCCACTGCCCTCTTCAACATCCTACTAAGTGCCTCCATAACAATGAGAAAAAGAAAAGGAGAAAGGGGATCTCCCTACCTCAAACCCCTAGAGCTCCCAAAGAAACCCTTCAGAGCTCCATTCACAAGGACCGAGAATCTAACACTTTGAGATACAAAACTAAATCCATCTCCTCCATTTCTCTCTAAAGCCCATCATTTCCATCAAATAAAGAAGGAAACTCGAACTGACATGATCACAGGACTTCTCAATGTCCAACTTGCATAAAACCCCAGGAACCCACTGCACAATCAACACACTTGCCCGCAATAAGGACTGAATCAAGAATTTGCCGTCCTCTCATGAAAGCGTTTTGGGAATCCGAAATAACCCCATCCAAAACCTCTCTCAGTCTTGAAACAAGAACTTTAGCAATTAATTTATAGATACATCCCACTAGGCTAATGGGTCGAAAATCCTTGACGACACACGCACTCACCCTTTTTAGGGATAAGAGAAATGAAAGTGGCATTCAAACTTTTCTCAAAGCGGCCCTGAGAATGAAAAGCATGAAAAGTTCCCATCACTTCCCCCTTAACAACCTCCCAACTATGAAGGAGGATTCTCATCGTAAAACCGCCAGGACCAGGGGCTTTATCCCCATTGCGGTTTTTCAGCGCCCTTAGCACTTCCTCTTCAGAAAAAGGTCTCTCCAAACCAACACTCTCCGTCTTGAAAATCAAATCAAATCAAACTAGAGCCCCTTAAGCAATAGTCTCCAACTTTGAGTCTAAGTGAATAAATTCTGAAAAAAAGAGGCAATTCCTCTACAAACCTCCTCATCCTTGCAGAGCAACTCCGCTTCCACCCACATTCTCCCGATATGATTGCCCCTTCGATCTACATTAGCAAGTCTATGGAAAAATTTCGTATTACGGTCCCCCTCTTTTAACCACATAGCTCTAGATTTCTGTCTCCACGAAATCTCCTCCAACACAGCTATTTCAGCAATCTCCGCTTGGCATACGACCCTTCTATTTCTCAAAACCTCCCCAAGATCTCCCAATCCCTCCATGCGATCGATATCAGCAATCTCTGAGAATGCCCGGTTCTTCCTCCACTCTAAGTTCCCAAACACCTCCTTATTTCATCTTTTAATTTCCTCCTTCAAACAACGTAATTTTCTGGAAATAATGAAACTTATAGTTAGACCTGTCAACGGATCGGATTCGGACCGGATAATGGTCAATCCGATCCGATCCGAATCCGATAAGCATAATGAGTGATCCGATCCGGTCCGATAATCCGACGGATTTTTACTGAGTCAATCCATATCCGATTTGTTTGATTATCGGATGTCCGATCCGATAGTCCGATCCGATTATGATACAAAAATACAAGAGAAATATGATACCAGAGGGTTTGATCGAGAAAAAGAAAATACAAGAGAAATATGATACCAGAGGGTTTGATCGAGAAAAAGAAAATACAAGAGAAATATGATACCAGAGGGTCCGATCGAGAAAAAGAAAATACAAGAAAAAAAAAATACAAGAGAAATATGATACCAGAGGGTTCGATAGAGAAAAAGAAAAAAGAGAAAAAATAAATAAATAAAGAAAAAAATAGAAAGAAAATACAAGAGAAATATGATATCAGAGAGTTTAATTGAGCAGCTCTTTCTGCCCACTTATGGTTGCTCGATCTCCCTCTATTGTCGCTTCACTGGATCTCTTTCTCTCTTCGCTTCACTTTTTTTTTTTCTCTTCACTTCGCTTCACTCTTGATTCTTGAAATAAGTCTCCAGATCTATTGGCCGTATAATCAAATTATGGGTAATGTACTAAGGGAGTAATGGGTCTGAGATATTA